ACGGTACAGCAGTAATAGCTCATGAATGTATACTTGTTGACTGTTTGAGGAGCATGCTTACCCCCCCCCCCCAAAAAAAACGATGCCGTAATGATATAGATAGATTAACAAAATACGCTGACATGATCCCTGATTAATACATAAAATCCTTACGAGAAGTGCCATTTCAGATTTCGGTGGGGGGGGGGGCAACTTTTATTGATAGTCCAGAGAGTTAACTCCCTAAATGGCATTGAGTTTTTAAAGGTTGAAATATTTTTAAAAATCTGTCTATTTCGGAAGCATTTGCTTCGATGTTTTCTTGTACTATTTAAAGACTATTCAAGTAGTCCAAACTACATATTTTATATATATACATGCATTGTTCCCAAAACAAACAAATGTTATTAATCATGGGGTGGGCAGATGACCCCTCTTGCCCTACCTAAATGGCACCCCTGAAATTTTACTAAACATTTCTAAACAACAAGACATTATAATTAAACCTGTTATAAAGGTAGTGTAATTCTAGTATGGCGCGAAAATATGTATCTTGTTAAAGTTGAAAAACAACTGATATTAAATTTTAATTATTTCCGGTTGTGACTGCCCCACAGAATTAATTTTTTTTCATGAATGCCTGATGATTAGGACGATCGAGTCGTTATCTGCGATTCGTGAGTCCAAATCGTGTCACCGAACAATCGTGATTTTTCAGCTGTATGAGTGTTATAATGATACGGTCAATTCTCTTTTCGTTGGTAAACGAGTTGGAGATGGGTGGTGTTGACTTGTTGCCTTCTCTCTAGTCTATGACTGCTAAATTAGGGACGGCTACCATTGATAGCCCTCGAGTAGTTTTGTACAAAATTCAAAACCAACCAAACAAGCATTAATGTATTCGCATATCCAGATAATATCCATTCTCAATAGTTATTAACGTTCCTAAATAGTACAAAACTCCTGTATTTTTTAAAGATATATGAAAAAACCTTTAAAAATGACTATTAATTTTTACGGTACTATATCTTAACAGATTAATACAACATTTCATTGTAAGAATAACAGTTCTTATTTGTAAATATAAGCTTTTATGTTGTTGAAGAACACTCGACATCTCAAGTAGCTCCCAGTGACACAGCGATATGTCTGCGGACTTACAACGCTAGAATCCGGTTTTCGATACCTGTGGTGGGCAGAGCACAAATAGCCAATTGTGTAGCTTTGTGCTTAATTACAAACAAACATCTCAAGTATTTCGTCATTTACCCTACATTTATTATCTTTAAATTTCTTGTGTCTACGATAAAGGATAGATGACGCTAATAACCTTCGCGTGAATGTAAACAGTTTTTGAAACGAACTTATGGAGTGTAAAGATTTAAAACATTTTTTGAATACCAAACACAACAATATGGTAATTTGCATTTAAACATTAACCTGGAATCGAACAGAACTAAAAAAGTAATTTATGTTTGTAGTTATGATTTTACAGTGTGTTGCTACTAGTTTATTAGTATAGCACCAGTACAAAATTTGACATAACTCAGTAACTGAGCAATTATTATTATTATTAATTAATAATAGCATCGTTGAACAAAAAAACATTTGAAAATTGTCTTCGATTTCAAATGTAACACAAAGTTTGTTCATGATAATGGGGAGAACTTAATTAGATTATTTGCTTAAATGTTTTTATATCCAATGTGGATATGATAAAGAACAAATAAACATGATTTTAAATTGCAATTTTCAGTGAAAGTAAATTGATTTATACTGTAATTTTAGTCAATCGCTCGCCATAAATTGAAAATTCAAACGATTATTTGATATTTGTAAACACTGTCAAGTTTCAGTTGCAAGTCTTTAAAAATACACATTAGTCGCTTGTGCCAATAAATTTAATATTAATGGAAGAAAATTTCTTGAGAAATAGGCTTACCTTTTCTTCATGAAATTAAAACTTAATCTTTTTTAACGGAGATAACTGCTACAAATGTTAAGTATGAATCAATAAGATAGTATTCTTTGGTTTATTTTATGTTTCAGTTTATGGTAAATATGTAAGTTTGTATAGCAAAGTCCTTACATTTTATTTATTCTCAGTCTTAATAGATTACTGAATAAACATAATCATAAAATAAAACAATATAACCAGTATGGGTAGGAATTAGATAAGGAGATAAATTATGAACTTGTAAACAACTGGGAGCTCAGAAATATCCTGGGAGACTTGTAATATATTTAGGAGATTCCTAATTAATTGAAATTGTCATAGTGAGGTCCTGATATTTCTTTCTAAGTTAGCATGAGGAGTAATTATGGATTATTATTATTTTTATTTTGTAAACCCAGTAATATACAGTAAATGTATGACATTGCTGTTCTTGTAAAACAGGCCTTTAAATGTTTTGTATACACCAAAGTTTTTACCTTTCCTTTTATTTATGTCTTAAGTTTTTCCACACACTACACAACCCTGTATGTATAAAGAGATATATACTTTTTTTTTTTTATATAATTTTTGCTGTACTGAGAGAGATTGAATGTTGATAGTTTTGGATACTTAAAACTTGTGTCAGCTATCAAGTTTTATGATTCATATTATGAGACATAGAAAAAAAAAGTAACATATTCTGTTAAAAAGTAAACTTTCAGAGTAAAATATGCATGTAACAGTTGTGCTTATTTGTGTGTGGATCTTGAAAATTAGTGACAATCAGAAAAAACGGTACTGCATTTTATTTTGCAAGCTTATCAGTTTCTTTAGTTAACATCACATTTAACAATTTCTAAATATCCATCTATCTGATGTCAGTAAGTAAATCTTGATAAGCAAGTCTAAATGTATTTTTATTTAGCAGATATTTTTAAATAGATATTCTTTATTTTTCATAGTTAATGTGAGTGGAAAACAAAGATAAAC